CATTGTCTAGGCTGTACATGAGGAATTGTCTGCGAACGGGAATTTCCGTGGAAATTCCTGATGATACGCACCTCATCGGAATCAGAATCAATTTGGAGAACAGTGAAATGGTGAAATCCTTGGCTTTTCCCACACGGTATCAACTAAGCCACGATGGAGACCACCGTCACCAAAGCATCGATATAGTTCATGCACACCTTGGGTGCTTGGGCGCACGCAGGGCGCAGTTTGACCGGACCTCTGGTGTTGGAGAGAGTGAAATGAGCGGATGGCCGGCTGACAACTGGCCGTTCTCAGAATGTCATGTGTGTTTTTGTGTGTGTGTGTGAGAGACATCCTTGGGATGGTAGAGAAATTGAAGTCCCAATGAAATGAGAATTCCCGGCCCCGGCCCTTCATTTCATGAACATTTGGAACTTCCAATTTCCACCATCCTGCTCTCACATGCGCTGGGCTACAAGGTTTTCAGCGGCTTCTGGCATAAATATGTACATAGGTATGCAGCGCATGTATGCGCATATACGGTGTATTTATATATATATATATTTATTTATTTATTTAAAAAACTATAATTATATATATATATATATTCTATATTCATATAGGGAGATGTCTGGGGCACTGTCTAGGGCATTGGTGACTTGTCTCGTTGCCCCACTTCTTTTGGACTTGTCTCGTTCGGATGGAGGCCGGTCACCGGACCCATTCGGCTCCCAACAGCGGCGTCCTACCATGTCCTAGCATGGTCCTACCCCTTTTGGTGCCCGGGCATCCATAGGCGTTTGCCCTCGTTTGAGACATAAGACATGAGTTAGACAAATTTGTATACATATATATATATAAAGGAGCTTGTATTAAAAAAACATACAGGAGCTTGATATATATATATATATGTATATATAAACATGAGTTAGAAAGATATAGAAAGGAAGCTTCTCAGAGCAGGAGCTTGAGCATCTTGTTTTCTGGGTGAAATCAGATGCCCCGGCTCGGATCGAGGCTTGTTGACTGTCGACGACCGGGTTGAGGGTTTAGGCTTGTTGAGCCTATCATTGGTTCGGGCGCGCCTGCCAACGGCCTGCCAATGCCGCAAAGGTTCCATCCAAAATTTCCGGCCCAAGACCACAATGCGCAGGAGCACATCCATGGTGAAGAACCCAGTAAAGACATAATCACCAATCCTGAGCATTGCTTTTTATGCTGTTTGTTATGTTTTTAACGTTGCTGCTGTTTTTATGGCTCTGATGCTGTCCAACCAGGGCTCCAATCATCAGCCAAAAGAACACATAAAAGCATCGGTCGCCGAACATGCCTCATGTGTCTCAGAAGCTGGGACTTAGAGGGTCTCAACAACACCTTTCTGATTGCTGGCCCCAATGCCTCCCCAAAATTATGTGACACTACGACTCACTGACATGGAAGTGGAGTGCATCGTCCTTTAACAGGGTATGAATTCCACTACCATGTGATGTGATGTAACCCTGGGAGTGTGAACATTCACGTTCTTTGCAGACTTCCGGCCGGCCATGGCCATGCGCGTGGACCCCGAAAAAATGCTTTTCGGAATGTCCACCACCCGCGCCGCACTGGTGGCGTCGCTGAAGCACCGCATTGGTGGCGCACCACACCGAGGGGCTGGAAGAAGCGCTGGGTCGAGTCGCGGTACTCCAGATCGATGATGGAGGTGCTCTGAACTCCGACCAGGACGCCCTGAAAGGAGCCGGTGATCTGCAGCCTAAGACGGATGCGAGGCGGAAACATGACAAGACACCGCGCAGATCTCAAGGGGGCGACTCATGGAAGTCGGAGGATGCTGGTGATTCTGGGAATGGTTGAAGTATGTTGAAGCATATTGAAAAACTTGACACATCTACAATGGGATTCTATCCCAATCTCGGGGGTTCTATTTCATTCCACCATAGAAAAGGAGAGAAGAGACGAGAGCAAGAACTAACTTGTATGGAGCATATCAAGCGGTCATCGATGTCGATCTTCGAGGCTGCCCCGTTGAGACGTGCAACTCTGCAGCCATCCAAATGACGTTGAGGCCAAGCAGGATGGTAATGACCTCAGCTGCTGAGTATGCCAAGCTTGCAATGAAACGATCCCGGGCAGTCCTGCTTGGTCTTGAAAAACGCTGCGAAGTCACAAGCCTGCACCCAACACGTGCATCCCGCCTCTTAAACCCACCCCTTTCAGACCAGACACGCCATCAAAACGATGAGATTGCAACCATGCTTGAAACCTTTCAAATCTGGGCATGTCAGGAAGATACCTCGGAGTCGTGCAGGTCGTGCGGGTCAAGCGAAACATCTCTCCCTCTCTGAGGGTAGATGCCATATGTATGTCATCATGATGGGAGATTCGAGATAGCACCCTTTCAGCAATAACTAGTAACTCCTCGCCGCTCGCCAGTCACGTCCCAAGGCTCCTCTGAAAAACGGGTTCCAAAGCTACTCAATAATTGCACCCCTTATCACACAACAGCACCTCTATCACCCACTTAGCATGTAATCAAGTATTATATATTATTATATAATATTATATATTCCCGAGCCCGCGCAACCACTCTCTGCATACTTACGGCCTTACGGGATGATTGAGATCTTGACTTGATTCAAATCACCGAGGTGCGAATGGTGTATCTTTTTGACTTCATCCATGTGCGCGAAGGTCGCATAAAACCAACGATCCTGTGAAGGTTTCCTGGTTTCCTTTCAGCTTGCCAAAAGGGTGGGCTTCCCAAAAACATGGGCCAGCATCATTTGACTGGTTGGGGGCTTCAACTGACTTGAAATATGTTTTTAGCGGGTTCAATCGTTCAATCATCCCAACTAAAGGTTGAAACGAAACTATGTTTGAAACCACCACCTGGTTGAATGACTCTTCAGCCAGCCAACGGGACTCAAGCACTCAAGCACCATGCACCCAGCTCTCGGAGCATGGGCATCTTGTCCAAAAGACTCCGCCCGCCACTCACCCACCGACCATCTCATGGGGGTTCGGGTGGCAACCGCTCGGAAGGCTCATCCTCCAATCTATGCACCTTGGCCGCCAGGCCTTAGACGTCCCAAGCGATGCACACCGCAGGTTACCCTGCATACGTTGGGCGTAGGGGTGTAGGGCCAAGATCAATGTCTTGGCTAAAGAACCAGGCCGGTCGAAGTTTTTCCGTCTGTGAAGTCGGGGTTGCTGTAAATCGGAAATGACAGCTTCTTAAATGAAGTTGCTTAAGAGCTGAAACGTCTAGAAGTCGGGACCGGCCATGTACGGCCTGTGAAAAGTATTGCACTGTGCAGTTGTTGCTCGACCTAGCCGGTCAAGAACACCAAGCAGTGGGAATTTCAATAGCAGTTGCCAACTGGTGAAGTACCAGGGCACCAGTCTAGTTTGAAGACTTTGGCGCGCTATAACATGATCACACTAGATAGGAGGATCCCTGTGACTCGAGCCCCGCACTCCCCGCACCAGTGTTTGGAAGCATGTTGGCCATAGGTTTGCATTTTTTTGGATCCTGGTGATCATGTGTGGCTATATTCAAAGCAGGCCCGTATCAAACTTGGCAAGTGGACTGCAACATGTACTCTTAGCGTACAACAACAACAACAACAACAACAACAACAACAAGAACAAGAAGAGCCATAGCCATAGCCACAGCCCCAGCCACAACCACAACCACCGACAATTTTGGGAGATCTGACATGTTTCATCTTACATTCTCCTGCGCAAAATCCGCTCGATCTATCTATCTATATCATAAATATGCAAACCTCAAATTCAGAAAACAAATATAGGGTTCTACTGTTCTACATGCTGGACCTGTGTGGTTCGTTTCGCCCATAAAGGCACACGACAACGTTCAAATTCCAAAAGGGCATCGCAGGTCCTTGAGCCACAGCGTGATTTGATGGTCACACACTGCGGTTCTTGAGGCCTAAGTAGTGGTTTCCGATGTTTTCGGTGGTTTCTGGTGATGAATGGGTGCTATTGACTTGGCAGCCCCTCACCCTCAGAAACAAATCTGAAAACTCCCAGTCACTCCCAGTGGCTCTTTTCAAATTGCTCCACCGTGGCATCTCGGGCTTGAAAGAACTGCTCCACTGTTACGTGGTGGTCCTCAGCAAGATGCTGTGGGATGTTTCTATAGCATAATTAGGCATAAAGTTGATGACATTTCATATTGGGATGAGGTATGTTTAGAAGTCTTTGGGTCTATCCAACCTTTTCGCATGCTTCAGGGTCAACGGGTGACTGGGGTGCAAAGGAAAACCAAGTTCAAATAGCAACCGGAGGAATCCGAGCCGATTCTGTGGTAGGAATCCACCCCTCCTCACAGCATTGGGATTGGTCATTCACCGACACCATTCCTGGGAACATGTTGTCGAAGACCTGATCGCGAAGCAACAAACAAGTTAGCTCAGTTAGCTCAGTTTAACAAGTTTCACTAGTCGATGAGCACGACAATATACAGACTCTTGGGGAACCTTCCCTTCAAGTATGTAGACCATGCAGTTGACCGTTTACGCTACAGAGTCGTCTGAACCAAACAGTTTATACATCAACCCTTTTGCATCATGTTGCCCCCCCGAGAAGGAACAAAACACGGTTTATCACTGGCCCATCAGAAGGCAATGTATGTTCTCCTTTGAGATCTTTGAGCCTGGACGGAAAACGGCAAACGGTGCTACTGGAATCTATTTACTTAATCTTCTTTAGCCAGTTCGCATTTAATGGACGTGGGATCTAATTTACAGTATACTTAGTGACTTAATCTTCCTTAGCCAGTTCGCAACTAATAGATCTGGAATCTATCTACTTCCTTAGCCAGTTTGCAACTAATAGACCTGCAATCTATTTACTTAATCTGTTTTGGCCAGTTCGTAACTAATAGCTCTGGAATCTATTTAATCTACTTACTTAATCTTCTTTAGCCAGTTCTTTGGACCTGCATTCGTGATGACTTGATCCAAAAGCACCGGACACCGGACGACCGGCTACCAAAGCCATGCGATGGAAGGTGAACCGGGCGGCCAGCACCTCTTCGGAACGGCCCGCACCATGCAGGGCCGGTCCGGTCCCAGGCATGGCGTCCTGTATTGCAGGCCACAACATCACCGCTCCAACAACCTGGTGAAAAAAACATGGGCCTTTTAATGACATCCAGTATCCAACGATTCCCCCGCCAAAATATACAGCATAGGCCGTGTCCAAGGCCATCTCGGCCATCGGTGTCCAAGGCGCTTGGATCTGCTCCAAGATGTTGGATGCCTCTAGGGTGCGGTTGCGCACGCGGCGAGCTTCCAAGCAGCCTGGCTCAACCGGCCGCACGTCGGCGCGACGAGGCCCCAGGAGTCGGAACGTCGGGAGTCGGGGTCGGAAGTGGTCAACTTCTTTGAGAACCAGTGCGCCAGTCATGGGAAGGGTGCCAGTCATGAAGACCAAACCATTTTTTAAGAAGTGGTCAACTCCAACCAATTTTTGTTCTTCCCCTTGCACGTGCGTTACGGAGATAGGGGATCGATGTCAATTGTTCGGATTGTGAGTCTAGAAATCATCGTTTTTGAGACAGGCTGATCACGAGAAACCTTTCCCCGTGGGATGCTTGAGGTCAGGTCTTTTGGTAATCGTCGCATGGAGGCTTCCTGCGCAAACGGGTCCCAAGCCACAAAGCCATGACTCCTGTTGAAGGGGTTTCTTCAGGCTTCTCAAAGGCCAGGGGCCCTGGGATGCTTTGTGGAACTTGGAGAGCCCAGTTTGGGTTGATGTCCATCCTTGGACAAGGAACACTTCCACCACCCGTGCACAAAGGAAAATACAAACTATAAAGTGACAACACCAGGAGTCAGAAAGGGGTGCCAAACTTGGAGGATAGTGGTGCCCATTATCCACTCACTTAGGGCCTCTACGTGACTCCGATCCGCAGGAAACCACTCCACAAGGACCGATCCGCTCCATAAGCCCTACATATTGGGTGAGTTGGTGGTGTGGGCTGCTAGCTGACATCTGGGTGTCTCCAACTAGGAATCCTGTACTGTTGACGGTTGACTTAGAAAAGAAGCCCCGTAAGATCCATAAGTACATAACAAATCATAAAAGTGTTTATGCAAGAAAAAATGTCACAAGGTTTGGTGGCGCACTGATCCAAGCACCAATGTTTGTCCAACCACTCCGAGCAGCGCATCTTGAACTTGTTCGCGAGCGTCATGGATTGTGAGCCCTGGCAATGCTTTGCTCTTGCGAAGGCGCGCAGCTGATGATCAAGCAAACAAAATAGCTGATCATCTGCAAACACTATCCAAACGGATGGTATAGTCTAGCTATTGGTGCTTATTGGGTGGTAAACCAAATGAGATGGGGTGTCTCTATGACGACCTCTTTTAAATGACAAATTTCTCCAACACGTGGAAGAACACGTGGCCTGTGAAGGTATATAGCACTCTCCTCTAGCTAGCACCGGGCGAATGTGTGAGTTGCTTTGGGGGCTGGTTAAATCAACTGAGCGCCTAATTCCGGCCATGGAATGAGGCTGCACTCCAATCAAACAACGATCGGACGAAAGTGCAGAACTCGGCTAAAATACCGAGGGGTGACAAAGGCACCTGAAGGTGAGGAGTATTTGGTGGAGAAACTTCATCAGCACCGCCACCGCCCGACAAAAAAAGGCTTCATGTAGCAGACCCGCGAGTGCCAGGCCACGTGGCAAAAACCTCGTGCCAAGCCACGTTCGATAACACAGACCGCTGAGTGCCCATCTGGCGCACAGATCCAGCGCAAGACTTGTCCAAAGAGGTTCCTGCGGCGGACGCTGAAGTACAAAAAATGTCCCCGTGACGAGTCCCCAATACATGCACGCAGGTATATATATATATATAGTTTAATGGGTTTGCATACGGAAGGGCATTACGTGCCCACTACTCAGGGGAGTGCAAGGGTGTTTTTGAACCGTTGCCTCACTAACTAATATACTAAGTCCATACTCAGTACATATCCACCCATAGCTGAAGCCTTTCTTGGTTTGAACATCATATCCTCTCACCATCCATCGCCTAGTCGTCACCGGACGTCACTCCCCTAGCGATCAGTCGACCGTAAAGGATCGATTCTGGAGACACATGTGAGATCCCACAAGTGAACCCGATGACGCCTTAAAGACCTTAGAACCAACAGCTGTCTGTAAAACCATGTAACTCACCCAGACTCACCCCAGGGGATTCTCAATGGTTTGTTTGGCTTAGCGCCTTTCAGCTCACCAGTCACCCCAAACATTGCTCCAACATGCCTCCTCTCTCCACTTCCGGTGTTTGACTCCCAACCCCCTTGGTTTCAGGGCCCCCTAATGCCCCAAGCAGCTGAGACCAACACTCGACCGCGTTAGCGGGGACAAGGGTCGAAGATCCGATGTCTCTGAGAAAAGAAAACACACACCGGGGACAGCCATCCCTGCGCCAGCCGCTGTGGGTGAGAACGAAACAATCTTGGAACACCCAGGGATGCCTTTGACATCCTTTGACCATATTTGGCATAACCCAGCTTTACTCCCAGCTTTGCTTGTAAAACCCGTTGAAATTGAGTCCAAGACCAAGACCTACCATGACCTACCCAGGTGTGTTGCTCTTAGTCGTCTTTAACAACCGAACGGTAGACGTCTGGCTCCGGGGATGCGACCGCTCCTGAGACGGACTGGATGGGGAGCCGTGCCTCAAACGGGGGCCCCGATCTCCGGCCAGGCTCAACCGCTCAAGTGGTGCTTCTCAGAACTTTTGCGGTGAAAGAGTACGTCCGGGACCAGTTTTTGAGGATGTGAAATGGAGGTGAGGTGACCGCGCTTGCTACTAGTAGAGCACTGTTTTCGTGACAAGGTGTCGAGGGTGTGTCAGGAGTCCGATGTCTTTGAAAAAGCCCTGTGCCGTCGTGCAACAATTAACAATTCAGGCTTTGGGACTATGGAGCAAACACTCGTGTAACATCTCTCCACACATGGCCAGTATAGATCCCAAGTACCGAAGCTGGCAACACGATGCCGTTTTTTGGAGCCCCACAGGCCACCAATGTTAAGACCCTACATCATTCGAAGTCCACACCAGCACAAGTGAAATCGGTGCCTCATCATCAGATGATCGTAGAATACGAAGTTCCCGTTGCAACTCCTGATGCAGGTGGAACAGGGATGAACAGGGCCCTCTCCGTACTTCCCCAATGAGCACTGCGTCATCAACGCACCTTCAAGTCGGTTTTTTGCTTCACAGCAACCCAATCTACAGCTGGATTTGCAGCATCGGGTCACTGGTGCTAGCATGATCAGAATGCAGCAGCTTTGGCATTGTAGTAGTCAAATACAGTTCAAAACATGATACTGACCATGCCTGAGACGAGGAGATTCATATCATGGTTATCTGGTTATCATATCCAGAATTCTGAACAACTTCGGCTCCTGCATGCGAAAATCCACTTCTGCCATCTCTCGCACATGCTGCTGAACGACCTGTTCCACAACCTGGGCCAGCGGATGCAGCAAAATGAGAAATGTTTGTTCACACAGGAGAGCATGCGGAAATGGAAGTTCCAACATGTCTAAACTCCATGAAGTTCATGGTGGGATTGGGCATGATTGGATGGATTCGCAGCAGCATTTGATTCCCACGTGCTGCTTGCGTGTCATTAGTGTGTGTTGTCCATCACCATCAGTAACGGTCATGGACAGCACATCGAACTGATCGTCTCCACCCAGCACAGCAGTGGAGACGGGGGCACATCTGCGACAGGAAAAAAGCTTCCAGAGCCACTTCCGAAGCCCAGGAAGTCCGTCGGTCCGTCTTTCGCCCAGTGGCTGCTTGAAAGGCCTCTGACTGCCCAAAGCCAGATGGCACCGGCATGCTCGCGGACCCGCGGCACCGCGAGCTGATCCGGCAAACGACGCAAAACAGAAAAAAAGCAAACACAAAGAGAGCGAATCCCAGTGCTGAACTGCATGAGCTGGAGGGAGGGCTGTTTAATTGGCCAATACACAGTAAGGAAGGAACTGCTCAGCTGTAGAACCTGTCTCTTGCATTGTAATAACTATCTAAAGCCACGGCAGGGATGGGCAAATTGAATTCTGGATGAACCATGCAATCACCATCTAAATGTTTCTTCCCAGCCCCATCTGAGAGCCGGAGGTGGCGGGCGCTTTTCGCAGGGCTGCAAGATGCATGATGCCTAGAATCGGGGTTGCTGGAATAAATAAGAACTCACGAATTATAAACCAGGAAGTTGCTGGTGGGCTGCCGATGTTGAATCTCTTTACGACAACGTCACCAATGAAAAACACACTTGTGCTCGCTGGGTCTGTATGAATTTGGTCAGAGGTGTTCAGTTTCAATCTGACACAGCTCTTTCTGCAGGCAGAACCCCTGCGGATCACTCAGTCACCGCGCTCCAACCTGAAATGAACGGAATACATGTCTGACCACACGCGTCCAATTGCACAAGGGCATACCTGGACCGTCCAAAATGTTCCAAACCTATTGTGGCCTTTGGGATGTTGATGTTGGTCACCCCTCTGCCATCTTGTGCTTGTCATACAATGGAGGTCCTGAAGTACCCAAGCAAGCTTCAGGTTGGGTTCATCTTGGTTGAACCCCGATGGCTGGCAGGTCGCGGAGCTTGGCAGGTCGCGGAGCTTGGCAGGTCGTGCCCAGTATATCGGCTGGCTGGAGCCGATCTCCTGACGAATGTGATATGGAAGTGACTGGAAGTGAAGGGCGACCATCATGGATGTTCCGAATGACGATGTTCCTGAATGACCTGGTGGGACACTCCAGGTCACCCTTGTGACGCCTTGCTCAGAGTCTAATATTCCAACACGCTTCTGTGGGTGAACAATGCCCACAACTGTTGGATTCTGGTGCAGTTTTAATATGCTTGCGTTGAACTGAAATGAAACACCTAACAATAATTACATATAATTAACTGGCCTCTGGATTGCATGCTGCTGCAAGGCAATCTCTTGATAGGCAGCACCGGACAGTCTGCGCAGAACATCATAGAACGATAGAATTGGAAAGGAAACCCCTGTGGAATGTTAGTTGAATTTTGATGGTCGGTTTGGGTGTTGTGAATGTAGTGTCATGAATGTAGTATGAAATCTTCCCAAATGGAAATACCCACAGAATCAGCGGTCCATGGCCAAACACCTACAAAACCATTACAAAACAATTTAATTACATTAACCTATGCATTCTTCAGCCGCGTGGCGGACCCGTGACCACCTCCGGGGCGCCTCGCCTTTGGCTCCGCAGGTCAGTCGAGTTCGACAGCTCCAAAGGTCACCAAAAGCTCACCTGAGCTGATTCTGGATTTGGATGGATTTTCGGGGGGGTGGGGCCAGATTCACAGGCTTGTGCTCCATTCCGATTGGTCAAGGTGTGAAACTGATTGGTCAAGGCCCCCTAACTAACGTCATGCCTGCAGACCCACCCAACACCAACATTCAGGAGACATGTGGTAAATGACCCCCGTGGAAATGACGGACCTAACATGGAATCTGAGAATTTTGACCGGTGGTTTCGACCCTTTTCCGAAGAGCAACCGGGGTCCTGTGGGTTTTGGGATGGTTTTATATGGTCCGAAGTCTGCAGGGGAGTATATAAGCAAATGGTGAAGTTGACTGGGTCGTGGTGAGGGTCCTGGTGAGGGTCCACAGGGTCAGATGAAAAAAGGTGCGCTGGTCATGTGAGATGTTGCTGGGCTCAGTCGGGGTGAGATCGGTCTACGCCCGCGCGTAGACCGAGCGTGAGTGAACCAATGACACCTTGGGGGCAAACGGCCAACGGGGCTTGCAGGAGGTCCAAAAAGCACGATGCATCGGTTCACCTAGTGAAAGAGAAAGGTACTAGCTCTGAGACCCACATGGAACCTGAGTACTCACTAAGTGGTAGAGGAAAATTGGATTCCTTGCAGGTGCATGGCAAGCCCGGTTCCATGTGGGTCTCTTCCAGGGCATAACTTTCCCTCACCACTTAGGTCGGGAGCGAGTGTCTCCATCAATGAGAACTCGCTCCCGCTAATCAGGGTTGGGTAGGGGCTGGGCAGCAATGTATGGAGTGAGTTTTGCACGTCATATCCCCTTTCAAGAAAGCTTTTGGAGTGTTTCAGCCGCAGTCAGCAGTCCACCCGGTCAAGGGTGGGTCGGTGCGTTGACTGACCCGGTTAGTGCTCACCACCAATGCTTCGCACCCGATGGGGTTTCACACTGGGCATGGGGGTGGAACAAGGTGCAAGCAAAAGTGAAGAACAGCCGCCACCGGCTCAACAGGCTCAACAAACTTCGAAACATCAATCCGCATCGCTTCACCTCCAAACGGTCCAGGCGTTTCACGCTGCGTGAACGTCCGTCCTCAAGGTCGGTGAAGGGACGACTCGGCGCCAGTCACACGAGGGCCGTGAGCGAGCCTGGTGGTGTGCGAACGGTAGGGGACCATGAAGGAAAACTCCCGTGGCGCATGAGCCCTCCCAAATGACCCAGTTCAGCAGGACAGTAGGAAAACTTGTTGAAGAGGCTTCGTGTCACACACTTGATCATGGCCTGCCAGTGCAGCATACTGCCATGCTGTGGCGCCTCACGAGCAAAGGAAACAACGGGCATGGAAGTTGCATGCAGTAGTTGTTCAGCGCCTCCAGCTATACAGCTAGCGACGCTTCCTGGAAGAAACATCCTTGAAGCTGGGATGTGCTACCCAAGAAGTCTTAACCCCATTGGATCGGTAGCGAGGCGAGGACGCACCCCACCAAAGACTAAGGAGCTAGGCGAGGAGCCCTAAGACTGGGTGCATATACCCCGAAAAAGACTCGTGGCGCAATTCCCAAATGGTGATTTATGAGGCTTTGCCAAAACTGACCAAACAGGAGTTTTTGTGGGGGAGCTGCATTATCATATGGTCCAAAGTCCCAGACATGACTTCTCTCTTTGCGTCTCTCTTGGTGCCTTCTTCATCCTTCTGATTCACATGAGCATGGCTTGAGATCAGCAGCTGGCAAATCTCCGCCGAGCCTAGCCCGGGGCCGGGCCAAAAGCACTCTCTCCGATCCATCAGGCACCGAAAAAGGACCAAGATCAAAGGAACTATAAGATCCTATAAGTAATGAAGGCGAGTCCCAAAACGGATGATAACCACCAATTGTTGCTCAAGGGCACCATCTAAGGCATGAACCAAGGGGACGGACCAAAGGACGCCCTCAGCCTTGACCGAACCGGGAGTTCGAGGACTGGAACCCACTGAATACGACTCTGGCGAAGAAATGACGGACCGGAGTCCGCACCACTTGAGTTACATCCCCAGTCCTGATGGGATGTAAAAGAATACGCGCCTACATTGACCCAATGCAGGTGTATATATATATACACAGTTATATTATGCAATTATTTATATATAAATTTACATTATGTATTTATATATATGCCATACAAGGTGTGAGTTACATCAGTTGTATACAGTAATTGTGTGCTATCAAGGCTAGCACTGCTGAATGCTCAACCAGCTTGCTCAACCTGCCTTGGAAGGCGGCCACCATGAGAGGGCGAATGCCTCCAGGTTGAAGACTCACGTCCTGACGGAAAAAATCAAATAAAAAGACCCCCGCAAAGCTGATCTCTGAAGCTAATGCAAAGACACGCAGGCAATAAACAAAACACAATGTGAACCATCGCGATAGAAACAACAAGTGTATACCAGGACCATCCTGTCTGGGTGTCCAATGGACATCTCTAAGCTTATGACTTTCCTTTCAGCCTCAAGCCTAACTGCACAATGCATATCAACATGTTGTAAATGCATATCAAAAATGCGTATTTTCTGCATATTGGCCTCCCTAGGCAAATGCATATTACCTTGACACTTGTTTTTGCAAATATATGCATTTGTGCTCCAAAAAAATATGCAGAAAATATGCATTTTCTCTAGGAAAAATGCATATTTTCTGTATTTTCAGCACATTGGCCTCCCCAGGAAAATACATATTTCCTTGACACCTGTTTTTACAAATATATGCATTTTTGGCTCCCCAAAGATATGCAGAAAATATGCATTTTCCCTAGGTAAAATGCTTATTTTCTGCATATTTTCTGCATATTGGCCTCCCCAGGAAAATGCATATTACCTTGACACCTGTTTTTTGCAAATATATGCATTTTTGGTGCAGAAAATATCAGAAAATATGCATTTTCCCTAGGCAAAATTCATATTTTCTGCATATTGGCTATCTGGGGAAAATGCAGATGTTTACACTAGAATGCTGACCGCTTAGAACCACATGCATTTTTAATATGCATTTCAGGATGCCTGATCTGCATATTTACGCGCATTCCTACATATAGGCCTGTGGCCAAAGGAAGGTCATAACTCTAAGCAGTGGAGGGCAGTCCAGCCAGGACACCCAAACAGGAAGGTCCATAGCTCTAAGGAAGGTCCGCCGGTCCAAGACTGAAAGATCCACAGGTCAAATCCAAGATTCTGTGTTGGCATGCTGCGCCTTGGCGTGGGGGAATGCGCGGGGAACCCGTTTTCCAATCGAAGAACAAGTAGACATCAGTAAACACAACACCGCTCCACAACGCCTGCTTGACAATTCTCCCGCATTGGGGTCGAGAATTTCCACTAAGTCCTTGGCTCTATGACATTGTATGACTAAGGCCCCAGGAATGCACTAATGAATCAAATTTGTTTGACATGCCCTGCCACCTTCCGACCACAACTTCGCTCAGCTGCTAGCAGCATGGCTACCACACCCTGGCGACCATGGTAGGCAGCCAAATGGAGCATCGTCGGCGCGCCCAACCATGGGACGAAGTCGATGCTCATTTTCTCCAGCAAGAGCTCAACCTGAGGCGGTTGTTCCTTGAAACATCAGCCCTCCAACACCTGGTACTTCCCAACCCTGGAGCTTTTTCTGCCCAGGTGCCACTGGCTTCTGCCCCATCTTCGCTGCCCAGCCCACCGCGGTGGAGCCTGTGGCGTCGGCCGTCTGCGGCTGGGCGCGATGCTCCAGAAGTAGCATGGTGCTTTGCAAGTGACCTCGTTGGGCAGCCAAACTGATCGCAGTCCTGGCACACAAAAGTTTGTTGGAGCCGACATGTCTTGGAGGCCTCTGAGGCATAGGGAGTCCATATGATCATTGGTCATTATCTAATTGTCTATGTGCATGATGTATAAAGTATTGCATACTCGTATATTTATATGTGGGATATTATATATATATACATACGTGCCCCTCTTCTCTGGGTGGGAAAGGCTGGTGAAAGCAACCTCTGGTTTCGACCCGACATCTCCAACAGCCCAAGCAGGTTGTCCAGGGTTGACCCCGAATATCCCATTCAAAGGCCTTTCTCACAAATCTGTCATTGACTGTCACAGGTCATAGGGCGCGCACTATATCTATGGATGCAAATCCGCCTTGGTAGGTATCAAAATTGAAACACGTTTTAAGGCTCAGCCACGGCCACAGCTTTAAGGTTCTGCAAAGCTTGTATGCCACTGCTGGAGTCTCCTGCCCACGGAATCTTGTGCATTTGGTCGGGCATGCGCATCCAGAAGGGCTAGGCACAAGGAGGCGTTACCATGCCAAGCCGCTAAATGCAAAGCCGTGATTCCCTGGCGATCCGAAACGATCCAAATCGGCACAGTGTGTCAAAGCCCCATGCCAACAGGTCTGCCCTTCACGGGTCGATGTGCTTTCGGCTGGTACTTCAACCGGCTTCACCAAACATCAACCTCTGCCCCACCCCAAAAGAAGCCACCTGCCTCACAGTACTGCAGTTCCTCCAAGCGCGTGAAGCCACTCTCACACAGGACCTGGACGTTCGTTTTGCGTCTCTTTGGCTCGAAATCGAATGTGTTACCAAGCACACCCACTACCTGGGTGTGTTACCCTGTCGACCTGTGTGTCATGGGTCAAAACCCTCGGCTTCATTACTTGAGGTGAAGGGCGCCAAGGACACCCAATCCCGAATTCTCTTCAATAAAATGCCTCACTTTCTTCCAAACCGCTCGCTGGGGCACCAAATGCAGAGTGACGCAGCGCGGGGGGGTTCGAACATTGGGATGGAAGACGCCGTCATTTTCGAGTTCAGGGGCCGCTCGTGTCAATCCGGCCGGTGTGTCTTGAAGCCGACCAGGTCAACGCTGCGCTTCGCCGGTGGCTTCAGCTCCCACCTCCTGCCAGCGAGGGCTCCCTTCGCCCCCTTCGCCCCGAAGGCGCCGGACCGGCGCGAGGCGCGAGGCGCCCGCCGGTCCGAAGCTCACCTGGTTGACGGACGTGGAGGGACGTGGGATGGAAGTGGAACGTTTAGAACATGTTGATGTTCGGAACATCTGCAGTCGTGGGCGATTCTTCCCAACTCTTTTGAGGATCGTCCACTCAACAAGAATGATGTTTTTGGGACTTGTGTATAGTTCATACCAGGACCTTCCAATGGGTGTCCAATGGACTACCCTACACTGCTTAGAGATGCCCATTGGACACCCAAACAGGATGGGATGGTCCAATGTTCTGGAATACCGATCAATTGGAAACAACAATTGAAGCCGTGGCAAAGTCCAGCAGATTTTGACCCTTGACCCCAATTGACTCAAATGACCATCCCATGTCATTCACCTGACCCGCAACTGCCAAGTGCCTGAGCACTGGCGTCCGAATCTAAAAGCAGCTGGCAAATGGGCAAGCGGTTCTTATAGGCAGCATGCAATAGAGGGGCTCCTCCATTCCTCAGTTCGTGGCATTTCCATGATCGCACTGAAGGAGAAGGTGATAACAAACTCTTGAAGTTGTGAAAGTGAAGAGAAGCGCGTAGTTAGCAGGATGATTGGATATATAATATAGGGTATTTCAATCAGTCTTCGAACATCCTTCTTTTCATTGTCACTATCAGGTGGGGTACCTGCTGAGTTAGCAGTGTGCTTAGGGAACAGGCACATGGATCTAGGACGGTGGTCGACCACGTTGAGTCCTCACCTGGGCCCGGCCTCAACCTCAACCAACCCTCCTGCCAGTTAAGGTATGTTGATGTTTTACCAGTAGGTCAACTGAGAATTCTTGAAAAGTGAAGTGCAACCACCGACACTGGAGAATATGTACAGGAGACTCTGGAGACTCCTTCCTTCAACTCCACCGACATGGATTGTGAACCTCTTCACCCTACATTACTTGATCCATCTTGATCCATAGTTTGATCCATTCTTGAATCATCTTGAATCCTTTCAACGGTGGAATGTCACGAACCTGAGGTCGGTCTCGCCCGTTTCGCTTTCTGCCGAGACTCCCATCGGGCCCATCCAGCTGAGCGAGAGCGGAAATCAGCAGTTCCACTACGTCTCGCTTGCCCGTCAAGCAGGCCAAGGAGAGGGCTGAAACAGGCATGGCCTGGAAGGAAAGCCAGAAATGACGCCAGGATCTGAGTCTGTTTCTGATCAAACTGAGGAGTTACGAACAGTTTGTATAGCAATTTGCTCTTGTAGATTAACCTGTCAAATCAACTTCCAACTCAACTCGTGATCCATCACTTGCAGAATTTCATCCCGGCAGCATCACCCTTGCAAGCACGTCATCTTCAGTTTCTAGCTCGGAACAACCAAGTATAAAAAACAAATATCACCCTTTTGTTCCTCGCATGCCATCAAAGCGATGGCATTGCGCCTGATCCACTTGCGCCTGTTGCTTCAGCAAAGCTCGGGCAATGTCCTGAAGAGCTTTGATGTCTCGCAGGGCAGCTCTTTTCGGAGGGGTGCTGTTGCTGTGTCCCTAGGTGACTAGTCCTTCAATTCAACTGGTTTACTGTTTCATCTGTTTCAAAAGGCCTTCCAACATCCATAAACAGCGATCACCAGTTTTCTTGGTCCTTGCTGATTCTCCACACCAACATACACCGCCCCACACGCTCCACACCACCACCCCGCCGAAGCCAACTTCACCACCCATCTCACCACCCCGATTTGACGCTTCCTGATGCCCCCCCGCCGCTGCAAGGTGAAGCGCCGTCCTCAGCGTCGAGGATTGTCGAGCACAGGTCTCGTGTCTCGTGTCTCGACCCCCGCCGAGCACAGCGAGTGTCTCGGGTCCGTCACGAGGCACCGAACCGGAAAAGCCTTCCACCAAATGCGCGTTTTCCTTGTAGGACTGGGCCTTTCTTCGTCGACCCGAAAGAAAGAAGTGGTTTTCGCAACCATTCCACATTCCGAATGCGGAATCTCACAGAGGCTCAGGTCAAGCCTGAGTTATCAAGACCTTCTCGCTCGCATGACCACACCCTGCTAAGCGTTTGCTAAGAGTCCATCCTTTCTTGGCTTCGGCATCAGGGTTGTGGCGCTCCAAAGCCCAGCCCGCTAAGCGTATATCGCCCTGCAAGGCAGCTCGGCACAAATCATGCGGTTGCAGCTCGGCGCGGGGCTTCCTGAGCAGCTGGGGCTGGACTGGATCCCTGCTCCAAGTGTGTGGTGTGGGTGTGGACCTCATTGTCCCCAGTCCACAGTGTTCCAAACCCTGAAGCCGTTTCAAAATCTTTACTTCCCTTGGAACTAATATGAAGTGGAAACCCCTTGGTATGTAGAGGAAAATGGTCTTCCAAGGGTCTATTTTCCACTTCCATGTTGGTGGTTCAGAGTGTAAAATTCAATATCTTCAAAAAAAGGCATACAGTAAGATCTGGATTGAGCTTCTTGGAGATACATGGGCAACTATATATTATATAAATATGATTCAATCTGTATATAATATAAAGAGTCGATAATCACGAGCCAGCGTCACATCATGATGAAACTGCAGCTTGCGGGCGTGACTAAAGTCAGTCTTTGGCCCTTCGCGCGGCGCCGGCTCCAAGGAACATGCGGATCCCATGAGACGAACAGAAAGGACCTTGACCTTGTCTCTGCTGCAGCCTTTGACTAGGCGACTGCGATTTATCTATCTATCGATCTATCGATCGTTATCTATCTCTCTATCTGTATCTACGTCTCTCTCTTTCTCTCTCTCTCTCTCTTTCTCTCTCTCTCTCTATCTGTATCTACGTCGCTCTCTCTCTATCTATCTATCTATCTATCTATCTATCTATCTATCTATCTATCTATCT